GGCATTCTAGCCGAGCGCCAGGCACTTAAGCAAGATAAGTGGCAGCTGGCACCATAAGCCGAACGCCAGACACTTGCCAAAAACACGCACACGACAAAGTTAATATGAAAAAATATTGAAAATGGGTTTGAACAGAGTATAGCACAAAAAAAAGAGAGAAAAAAGAGTTTTATCATCTCATTCATAATAAGCATTGAAGTTACAAAAAGTGAAGTATTCAAGTCACATAGTTACAAAAGAGTATGGAATCGAAGAGTCTGGAGAAGTCCTAGCTAGCTGCCTCAGTACCGACAGCCTCCTGGTTGTGCTGATCCACCTCCTCGTTCCCGTCAGCCATCTCACCCTCACGAAGTGGGGAATCAAGATGAATAACAGAGTCGTTCTGCTGAGGGCCAACGTCAGCAGTGACTATGGGAGATACCACAGTTGACGAATGAAGAGCGGTTAGAGGCTGAACGGTAGGAGGAGCTGTAGTGATCCTGGAGGAAGCAACCTCCTGACATTCATCAAATATGTGCTCGGCTTCGGTGGGTTCTGGGTCAACATAGACCCCCAGAGGGTCAATCCCTAAATCCTTATCAATCTCATCCGGAGTTGAGCTGGTCTGGCCCTCAGCCGAAACTCGGTCGGAGAAACCATCTCGGAATCCCTGAGCATATCTAAGAGCTCCAACTCTTGAGAACCGAGCATGAAGAGCCAGCATTCCACCATTCACTCTGCTGATGGTATCAATCAGAGCGTTGCGCTCGTCCAGAGCTCTTTTCTCAAAAGCCATCCGAGCATACTGTTCATTAGCCAGAAGGCGCTGGAGCTCTGCCTTTTCATCTCTGATTGAATCACGTTCAGTCTGCCAGACACTCCTCTCAAGCTGGAGGGCATCCTTCTCATCCTGAAGAGAGTCGTTTTCCTTCTTCAGAACATCTCTTTCTTTTTCGGTTTCTTCAAGCCGAGCTAATATCTCGGTGTTCTTGCTGGCAAGAAGGTCGTTTTCCTTATTAGCCACATCCAGGCTATCAGAGAACTTACGGGCCCTGGCGTTCCCCATTTCCACCTGTTTCTGCATAGCCATCATACCGAACAAAGTCTGCATAGATATACATGAATACTGGTTAAATCGATCGCCTGGTCGGACGAAAGCAAGAGCAAATAGTATGAGAGGATTCATGAGTTAGAAAATAAAAGTCACCTCCATGGCAGATTAGGGAAAGCGGCTGAACACATCCTTTTGGGACAGACCCTTCGCCGCCTCAAGGTCTTTCGGAGTCCACATGCTCCTATAATACGCCATGGCGGTCTGGCCATCCTTTAACATGGTCTCGTTCGGCTTCACGAACGTCCCATCCGTTCGGGTGTACCGAGGAGCCCATGGTGGTAAAACAGGAATAGAAGGAGAAGCTGAAGCAGAAGCAGAGGCACCAGCTGCAACAGGCCCGGATGGGGCAGGAGCTCTGACTGGGCGATGCAAGAGAGCGCTCGGCCCAGAGACTCGGGTCCTTCTTATAAGAGGTTCCTCCTCAAGGTTGACTCCACCGTCAGGATGAGGCCTTTTGCCTCGTTCTTTGTCTCGAGCACCCCCAGCGGCAGCAGGGGTAGTAGTGATTTGTGGAGATGTGCTCGGGTTGGTAGCAGGGGTGCTGACAACAGGATCAATAGCCACCGTACTCGGGATGGTGTCAGAGATGGTGGCTGAAGAAGAGGCTGATGCAGGAGAGGAGGTTGCTCCAGCAGCAGAAGTGGCTGGGGGAGGATTTTTCCTCCTACCAAAGGAAGGAATCTGAAGCTTGCTCATGGTATAGCCGAGGGATGAGAGCGCTAGAAGGTTGTCTGAAGTGAGGAGGTCTGAGCAAGAAGGAATATCGTTCAGAACGTATTTCTTCAAGTAATTACTCCTATCCCTGCAAACACTGTAGCTCAAGTCATTACAAGGTATGCCTAAGGAGTGACATAAGAAAGTATAAAAGCGAGGAACACATGTTTCGCAGAGACAATCGTTTTTATGAGATTTGAATTTCTTATATGAGGAGACAGAACAGACGCCAAAGGCGCTCGGGATTGGGTAATCCTCTGCAGCCGGCAAAGACCAGGCCCCACTAACACCCACAATGTTATCCCTCCAACCCTTTTCAAATTTGATTGTATCCGTACATATGGACATCTTGTCGATCGGGTAGAGGTGGTAGAATGGCTCGTCAATTCGGATCTTACTGACCTTATAGCAAAGAAGAAAATCTATGAGGTCAAGGTCCAGACTTCTGTCACGAATCAACAGTAACATAACGGATATGATTCTAAAGAAATTGGGGTTTACCTGCAGGGGGGAGATCCCCAGTCTATTGAAAACATAGTTAAAGAAAGGATGCAGAGGGAACCTAACGACATTCAGTTGAAGGTTTGTAAATAAAACCTCGCCGGGAAGAAGGCCAGCACCGGTCATAATATTAACATCCTTAGGGCAAACCCTAACTTGGATGTTGTCAGGAAGTCTAAGTCTCATACGAAGAACATCTAGATCTACAACCATGGTGGAAGCGATTGAAGGATCTAAAAGGGTAAAAAGAAGTCTGCCGAAATTAAAAAGGAACAAAACTAACCTCTGGGGTAGAAAGCAACAAAGAGCACTGCAAGATCGCTGGAAGAATGACTCTTGAAGAATTTCACCGGATGAAATTTAGCACTGTTCTAAAAAGATGAGCGAGAGATTTGACTGATGATAGAGACGGTAAAAAGGCATGAAGTGGCATTCTAGAGCCTTATAAAGGCGAAGTGGACCCGAGGGCCGAAGCGTCAGGGAGGCGAGAAATTTATCGAACCCCGGAACATTGATTCCGGATCTGACCGTCCGTTCCCCCATAAGGGTTTCTCGAGCCGTTAACATCATGATGAGACGCCTTTAATAATTACCCCCTTATTAAACAAGGAGTAATTATGGGGGCAGTTGAGGAGGCCCGAAGTGACATGGGCCGGATATGACCCGCGAACACGACATCCGATCCGTGCAGATGGGTCAAGCCCATAGAGAGACACTGCCATATGGGCCGAACGCGAATAGCCCATCAAAGATGACCAAAACTCACAGAGGAACGGGCCCAGATCTAGCAGTCCATTAATGTTTGTAAGTATCTATAAATAGGAGAAGTAATGGATAGAGGAAGAGGATTTTTTCTGTTGAAGTGTAAGAGTTCTAGAGAGAGAAAGGAAGAATAAATTTCTTGCATCTTCAAAGCCCCTCTGACCACTTTTTGACAAAAACTAAATATGAAAACCCTATTTTACCCTTTTGATTCCCATTTTGCCCCTCACCCATATGTGCATATAACCCCCCTTATACCCATTTCCTCGCCCCTCTCTCTCCTCCATTTCTCTCTCTCTTTGAGGGTTAGAAAATGTGTCTTATGAGATATATATATATATATATATATATATATATATATATATATATATATTTCTTATGTTATAATTTTTTTTAATTTTTTTTATCAATTCAACAGACACATAAAATTATAATTATAATTATAATTATAATTATGTTAGGGTAAACACAATGGATACCCTAAAGTGTGTGATTATGTGTGGGGAAGGTGGTGGCGGTTTTGCGACAGGGATGGTGGTGGTCGGTTGTGCGACAGGGATGGCTATATTATTGATGGGTTTAGAGAGGAGAGAGATGATTGTGGGCAGCGGCAAGAGGTGGCAGGAGGCGGCGGCCATGGTGGGAAGGAGGTGGGAGGAGGCGGTGGCCATAGTGGGGAGGAGGCCGCATGGGTGATTTTGGGATTTTCTTTTTGGATAAATAATGCTACAGTGTGTGTCTTATATAGTAGGGGACTGTTTGGTTTCGATTTTTATTATATCCAGTTTTAGGTTTCTTTGGTTTAACTTATCACAATTTTATATAAATTGAGGTTTATTTTATTTTTGTCCTAAAGAAACACAATTTTACACAAATTGGACAAAAGGGTCATTTTACATAGCTTGTATTTATAGTTATTAATTTATTCAACTGAGGGATTTATCGTCATTTTATACCACACAGGGATCTATTTGTATTAAATTGATAGTATATGGGAAGTTTATATCACAAAAGACCTTTTTACACGGGATATTTTTTAATACACTTAACCATCAATATAAAATATATATCTATAATCATATATATATATATATATAATACACACATAGCAATTTTCAGGTTCTTCTCTCTCCATACGTATATGTATATATATGCTATATAATTTGATTTCACCATATTTAGTTGTTAATTTGTTACTTTTGTTGTATGGAATTGATATCTAAAGTTGGTTTTGATTGAAATGGTGCCGAAAATGCCCAAGTTTTTTAGAATGATTTTGGGTTTTAATTGGGTTTCCAGGTTGTTGATTGATTCTATGCTGTTTCATTTGTAATTGGATGCTTGTAGTTGTAGGATGAAATCCTGGAGTTGGCAAATTGGTCACCATCGGATTCAAACCATAAAGAGGAGAAGATGGGTTATGATGGGTTTGGTTTTGTCAGAGAACATATATATGGGTTGCCAAAAAGTTCGCCCGAAGACGAGGTTTGGGTTGTAGCAGAGAAGAGTAAAAGTGTACGGAGTGATAAAGAGTAATTGGAAGAGAGAGAGAGAGAGAGAGAGAGAGAGTGTAAGAGTATTTTACTACTTTTATTCTTTGATATTTTTAAATAAAATGTATTAAAAAAAAGTATGAGTAAAATTGTATTTTCACTTGTAATAATTATTTTTAAAAGATATTTGAAAGTAAAAATTGACCAAACTTAAAAAGGTGTTGGTTAAATTAATCTTTAATTTTAACTGGAATCGGGGGTGGGGTGAATCGGATTATTTGGCTTCCCTTGAGATTAAAGATGTGTTAGATGGACAATTATTTTATTTTAGTTTATTAATTGCAATTTCAATTTCTTTGGAAATGATTCGCATAATCAAGGGCATTGATAACTGTTTCTCTAAAAATAATAACAATAATATTACTTGTTCATATTATGCGTTGAAAAAGCATTTGGATACGTGAACAAACAAAAGAATACAACAAATAAAAAATAAAAAGCATTGGGATATTTTACAATGGTGCTATTCTTTTTCTTCTATTCTTTAGATGTTAAAATTCACTTAAAAGATATTTTAACGCTATAAGAGAAATTATTAAATAGTCCAGACCCCAATCCAGACTAACATATTTAGTTCCATGACACACCGGAGATTGCCAAATATGGCTTCTCACCTGCATTGAACAAAATTCCCAGACACAAAATTAGTTCAGACACAACAATTTGAAAAAAATTAAATATGAAGCCAATAATAAGCTTGTTAAGAACAACTATAAGTTAGAGTATACAAACCAAATGTTCCGTTAGGCCACAATTACCAAAGCCAGCAGTTCAGAACCATTAGGTCTTATGGGCATCGCCAATCCCAATCAAGGGAATTCAAGGGATTGAATTTCTCTGAAAGCTTAATTGGTCAAGGCACAATCAAATTATCAGTAGAGAGAGAAGGAAAAAAAAAAAAAAACACACACACACACACACACACGACACACACGTTGATTTCATGCCTAGAAGGCAAAACTGATCACTGGATATTTTTATTCATGAATAGTAATTAATAAGCATCCTTTTATTCACATGAATCACCGTTTGAATGAACTCACTGCAAGTGCAGTCTATACAACCGTCAAAAGAAACAAGTCAGTATATATTCAATGCTACTTTGAATTGTATTGATCAGTATAAGCGGCTGCTGTCGTTGATGCTCCATCAATAACTATACACTTGGACAATCAACCAGTTCCAGCAACCTCGGGTGCTTCCCGAACAGTCGTAGCAGCCCTTCACGGAGTTTTAGACTGAAATTAAAGTTTTCTAACTTACTCTTCAAAGGCCTGCGTGTTCAAATTACACAATGCACATTAGGATTTCGGCAGGCATTATTAATACTAATTCCATTAGAAATTAATAATTGAGAGCTGTCAGAGTAACGCACCTGCAAAGCGGTACTCTGTAATCTGAATCTCTACAAAATTTTGAGTGGACCTCCAGTATCATCTTGGTTAAATGGCATGGTTTACAATGCCCAGCACCCCCAAAATGACTGCATTGACTTGCATGCCTGAGGCTTCCTTTGATTATACGGCACATCGGGTAGGAACAGGGATTGCTTTGCGTTACATGGCATTGAGCGGTATGTGGTATAACATCCAATATTTCATTGAACTGCACCACCAAATTACATAAAAGTTCAAAATTCCCACAATGATATTCATCAGGCACGGAGTGAGCAACAATTGGCCAAGAAATGCTAATAAAAGTTCTTAACAAGCCAATTGCAAACATCAATAACAACACATTACATTAAACTAAGGATCAAATTTTACTTTGTTTCTACAGAAACAGCCTAACGTATGAAGAGACACATAAGTGAAAATCTAAAATTGACATGTTTCTATCGAAATTTGCCTACTTTGAAACATACAAAAGAACGGTTGAAATACTGACACGGTTAAAAAAAATTCCTCCATGTCAACAACAATCTCAACAGGCAACAAAAAGGTAGTGTCCATTTCAGTTTTCAAAAGAAGAGGGGGGTGATTGAAGGATTTAAACACAAAACACAATAAATTCTTCTGGTTCCTCTGAGAAGTAGCAAATAAGCAGAAGCAGAAGTAAAACAAATGAGGAGATAGAAGAATTCATTGTAATGCTTATTCGCTAATTATCTTGACTTGCTAAATTTTCACCTTGGTTATAATTTTCCATGTAATTTGAGTTAAAAAATCAAAGTTATTCATATTGCAAGGTTAATACTAAAACTTGTTTTACACTTTACCATTATACTTATTGATTATATTTGATTATAATGATTCACTACATGCCAAAATTAGTTTTAAAATATTTTATGCTTGTTTTTCACCAGTAAAGTACTGTTTATATTATTTGATGATTTATTTATATTTGCATTTACTAATCAATTCCACACTTGTTTCCTCTCATTTAGGCCGAGCAGCCCTTGTATTATTAAATTATTTGACTTATATTCAAGAATTCATATAATTTTACTTTATATTCTAAGAATTTCAAATTTACTTTTGCAATAATTATTGTGTTTTGGAAATGTTCCAAGATAGTTCCATTTCTTGGTCAACCAAAAGGACGACTACGTCCTTGCTGCATTGGTTTGAGTGTTGCGATCAAGGAATAGATATTTGTTAATACATTCCTCTGTAATTGGCTAAATATCGCTGGCAAATAATCTAAAAGTAGAACACCAATTTTGTTTCTTAAACACTTTATTGCTTTAACATTCAATTTAAAAATAATGACCCGTGTCTCGGTTTGAATGTGAAAAGAAACAGATATTATTGGACATGTGGGATCTAACTATTATAATTAAGCTTATAAGAGATTTTCTCCATACCTTTACTCGCTGAGGCTGAGCCTGTTTACTGTTTGACTCACAATTAGCAGCAGCAGGACGCCTAGCTAACTTATGATGAACACAACACTCACCACATTTTGTTTGATAGCATGCAGCACAAACATCAAACTCTGGACATGTCTCACAATGCCAGCCCTGGTTTACCATAATATCCTTATGGCAAATGCTGCAGCTGGTCCCAGAACTTGGTGCTATCAGATTCCGGAGATGATACAGGATCATCAGTGAAGAATGCTTGGCATGACGAAGTGTATCAAACTGATAATTGTTCTCCTGACAGAAGTTTAAGAAAGTATTCCTAATCTCAAAGAAATCATTATCGAAAGATAAGTCATTGTCCTCAGTATCAGCAGGCACGTCATCCACCACCACCTGAAAAATATAAGAAACAATATACATAAGGAAGAAAATTTAAACAGGAACAGGTACTGAAAGTTATTATAAATTAAAGTATGTGCTAAATAAATTATTCCTGCTTCTTATAAAGACAATTGGTGGTGACTGGAAATTTTGGTGTTCGGGATTCACCTGAAAGAGTAAGTGTCTTTCCCCACTCTGGGAAGTGTGCGTTCCATCCTCATTGACATTTTGCTTGACAGCATGGCATCTGAAACATATATGATAGGATGAATAAAGAAAAATATATTATAAGATGACTCCTGAAATACATCGTCATTGACATTTTTCTCAAAATCATGGCATCTGAAGCATATATGAAAGGGTGAGATGAATAAAAAATAAAGTATTATAAGATGACTACTGTAATACACTTCATGAAGTCAATAAATAGAACTCTGGAACAGAGCTTCAAACAGATGACAGTTTCCAATATGAGGTGAAGTAAGCCTTGAGAAAAATACTAGTTAGAGATCAAGAACAATAAGCAAAACTCTGGAGAATATAAGGAAGAAATATATGAACGGGCACCACCTTGCAAAAGAAAGAGAACTCTAAATAATTTACAACATTCATAACACTGTTATGCAGATACTAATGATATTATATTTCATCTTCTTCATATTTTTCGGGAGCAGATAATGAAGATTTCGAGTCAAATCAGCAAAGCCTTTTCCCCAACTAATTGGGTCGGCTAATAATAAAGATTTCAACCACCACAAATAAAGATAATTCCATCTTTTGTTCTCTTGGCTTTACTCTTTTTTTTTTTTTTTTTTTTTCCTTCCATTTTTTCTACATATAAACAGGCTAGGGATATTCCCAATGTATGTATTGAATGATTTGAACAAACCAGTCTCTCTTCCTCTCCTCATCAATCTTGTTCATCTCTACCTTTCCGCCTACTTTTTCTTGTTCATTTAATATATGAAATTCAATTTCAAGGTCTGCAAAGATTTGGGACAGATGTGGATATAGCTCTTATATACATCATACATAGTGTAAAGAAGAACAGTAAAATGCACTAGTATGAAGAACAACATGGTCCATATTGAGAGTAATGCTGGCAAAGGGAAGACCATGGGTTGAGTTTGTAAGGAACCATAAGATAACGAGTAGTTCGATTGAGGTTATGGCATTAGAGCGGGAATGATTCATTTAGCTGACCTAAGTCACGTTTCATAATCAACCTTTCCTATACCTACATATTCAACCCTTCCTATACCTACCTGAGGCAAATTATATTAAAAAAACGAGTCAAAGCCATAGAAATTTGTCTCAACAATAAATGGATTTGTAACACCTATGTTAACCAATAAAGAATGCCAAAGAGGCCACTAAAGATCTAATTCCTAATTTCCTATTCCTTATTGACTTTTTCATATTTCATAGGATGAAATGACTTTTGAGAACTAGGAAAGCTTACAATTAAAGGAAGGCTGTAAGAAACACTCAATTGGATATTCATTACAAGAAATGTAAGAGTTGAGAAGAAAAAAGAAGAGATGAACTTACTGGGAAAAAATAAAAATAAAAATAAAAATACAAGAGATTGCGGGAGGGAAAACAAACTGATAACAGGCATTTAAGTATTTAACAATAACCAGATTATAAAGGCATACACCATAGCACATGAAAGATGTATATCTCTAGTAAGGATGAAGAACAAAAGTGGGAAAAAAGAATAATAAAACACGACTTTAATAGGAAAGCTTGCAATTACCTTTCACATAGCTGAACTTTTTTGCATTGATTGCAAATCCATCTGCTTCCAGTTAGTATCACTTCATGGCAGCATGTGCAAGTGTATTGCAAGGAGACCATTATAAAGTCTTCCTTCAGGGGTAAGATGGTTTGCCCCAGCTATCAAGGGAAAAAGAACAACAGCAATAACAAACTGTTAAAATCTCATCAAATAGAAAGAAAAGCAATAGCTTTTGATATAATGCAAAATGATGTGTTCTAGATGCATCAAATACATATCCCATATCTATATAGTCCCATGACAAGTTGTGGCCCACAAGCAAAAGTACAAATTTTGAAGTTTCACGTATCATAGGGTACCACGCAAGACAAGGGAGAGTTTTCAGTTTATCATCATTCTTTGATGATTTAGAATTTTTTGAAAAATGATGGCATAGTCCAAATTTAGTTGAACAAGATTCTCAAATTACCAAATACATGAAACTGAAGATGCCAGATAGGCTATCAGTACCAGATAATTTTTTTTTTAACTGTAGTAAATCAAGGTGTCCATTAGGCATCCACCGGATCCCTTGACTGTATTAGGTCCCAGGAAGAAGTCATAACCAAGTGACTACAAGAATGGGCATGAAATCATGGCTTCAGTTACCTTCTTTATTTCAAGACAACACATAAACTTGAACCTTTGACACATAGGTTGGAGTCCAATTTAGATACCACCCGACCTTAACCTGGTGTTAACCTTTGAACTAAGAGCATAAAACAATTTTTTAATTGTTGGAGTCCAATTTAGATACCACCTGACCTTAGCCTGGTGGTAACCTTTGAACTAAGAGCATAAAACAAATTTTATATTAAGCTCTTTTGGAGCTTGCTATGTCATTTGAAGAAGGCATGTTATCCTTTACATGTTGTGGAGGGAGAAGGATCAAACACATGAAAAGATAAATAAATAAGCCTATGCTAATTTATACAGGTAACTTTCTAATTTTTTGTGAAAGCAAAAAATTCGTTCATTATGTGGTCTATTATGAGGGAAGTTTACCCCTTCTGCTTAAAGGAACTCTAATCCCTATTTAGAATCACGCAACACATCATCTATCAGCAAGCAGTCTAAACAACAAAAATAGAAATAAATAAATAATCTTATTTGATAAGCAGTTTCAGCTAATCCTTGCTATTTAATTGGTCTTTGCTTTAATTCAACATTGTTGAAGATCCAGTCTCCCATGCAGAGAGAAAGCCTTATATTTAATGGAAAATTTCCCTTCTATTTGCTCACAATGTATAATAGGGAGAAATGCCTTCTTCTTTTTTCTTTTGGAGAAACTTTACCAGCGACACGACAAACTAACTTATCTTCAGTTTCATTTTTTTTGTCTTTGGGGGCATGGGTTATTTTTTGGGCCACTAAGGTGGCTTCTAGATTACATTAGGGGGAACCCATTCGGGCCATGCCTAAGACCTTGGTAAGCTTTATTTAATCCAACCCAGAGTTGTTCCAAACTTTTTGGCCACTGCATGGCCACTTTATGAGCCCTGATTTGACAACTTTGGGGCACTAGAATGGCCAAAGTAAGTAATTACTGTTGTTAAAATTAGGTTGCCATTGTCTAGCCATAGAAGTTCCGAAGATATATACTAAAAGCCTAGCACAGTATGTCATCCTATAGCACAAGTAAGAATCAACCAGAGCCCTAAATAACACAAATCAGTGACATCTGTAAACATTATATGAATAAAAGGAAAAAGTCAAGCAGAATTTACTTTATGCATCAGTAGAATATCTTTCACTGCATCACCAGAAGGATTGGTATGCCCCATGGCTTTTAAATTTCTCTTTGTCGTTAGTTTTTTCACCTTCCTTTGTAAATCTCCTCCACTTTCTTCCTCAATCTTTCTAATCACATTTTCAGCAGCAGTTGACCAATAGTCACCATCAAAATATGGTAAACGAGCTGCAGTTATCTTGGTTCTGCTTTCTCCAGTAGAAAAAAAGAATTCATCATATAAATTAGTGGTATCCACCACAATGTTCTCATTGGTTGCTTTTTTTAGCATTGACTTGTACCTGCAAGTGGAACATCTTCCAGTCAAGACATGCACACAGGCAAAAGCCACAGACATGGAATCTGAGCACAAACTACCTAGATCAACAGAAGTAATGGACTGTTCACTATTCAGGTTATGCTTTGCTGTGTGATGACCACATATGGAAACAGCCACCTCACCCAAAAGGCTGATCTGGGTACAAGTTTAATAATTCTCAAGAGCAAGACGCACATGAAATGCTACCAGTTTGCACATATCTTAATCGCACCCATGCAATCATATATATGTTGATGTGAGTGCACACAATCACACAGACAGAACAGAAAGACAAACACACGTACAAACACGCACAGAGAGAGAGAGAGAGAGAGAGAGGGAATTACCACCGCCTCAGCTTATCAGCTTTTGGTGTTCTCTGTGTCTCTGGATGGCAATATAAAATATAATCTTCTCCTTTTAAAGGTGGGCAGGCCCATATATAGCAGGTTGCAAAACCTCGTTTCTTGCAATACTCTAGATATCCTATCTGATAATGATACGGGAAAAAAGAAGAATCAAATCTTGTTATTTACATGTGTAAATTAGAAATTTTAAATAATCCTATCAAAAACTAGAAACTTTAGAAGCTCTTTAATCCAATATGTAACTCTGGATGGTCATACAAGAACTAGGAGTGAACAAATAATGACAAAAAATGTATTTACCAATATTTCATGGTAAACGAAGGTTCGAAGAGCTTCGCCATTAACAGAATCAATCTCTGGTATGAAGTACTTGACAGAATCAAGATACGATATATAAACACAACGTTGATTTGGTGGACAGCATTCTGAACCAAACTCTTGAACATACATTACGAAAAGGCATACATCTACACCTTGAATTTTCTGAAACAAAAGAATCACCTGATTGGGAAAACCACAAAAATAGTTAACAGCGGTGCCAAAACATGGAGAAAGCCACAAAAAGAATATTTCAGGAAAATAACAGACTTTTCTCAGAGCATTTGAAACTAACATGACCTCACATGTGGCTATATATCACTTCCATCCTTTTAATTTTCAAACAATGAAAAACTGATTGTATTGGCCCTTATTATAGTAGAGTCCATTGAAAGAGTGAAAAGAATAAGAAAATAATCAACTGAAGATTAATAACAGGGCTCGGTCAGCAGTGAATACAACAAGTCAATCCAAAACCTCAAAGGAGTTTATTGTTATTTCAGGTATTTAAAACAAAATCAATGGTATTAATCAACCTAAAGGGAGCTTCTTGGTACTTTCAGAATCTCAAATGATCTTCAGTAAGTTGCCCAAATAAAGATTAGTAAAGCGAAAAAAATTTATGGATCACTTTAATTTGTCTCACCTTTGATCTGTATGGGAATTCTGCAGGATAATTCTCGTCTTGGAAGATATCTAAAAATTGCTGTTTCACTTTCAATTGTTTTTTGACAGATAACACCACTCTGACAATGAGATCAGCTGCTTCAGGTACCTAATAACAGGTCAAAAATTATACACGAAATACTAAGCAGCTGAAGTAGATTTCAATATTCTCTTATTAAGACCAAAAAGGAAGGAAAAAAAAAAAGAAAAAAGAAGCATACATGGTATGAGCTACTCATATACAATAAAAGACCAAAAAAGTTGGATACAAAGAACACAAGAAAGTGTACAAGTAGCATGCAATCACAGAAAATAATTACATTTACATACAAGTGTATTGGTTGACATAAAAATGCATATTATATAGTGATTGTCAAATGTTTTGAATCCCATATAATATTAGTTGCACAACGCATTATCAAGTTCCGCCTGTAGAAGAATATAACAATTTTTACTCCACTCAACTTTATGCAGGATTCGTTATTTGTCCAAGCATATCATTAAATTGGGTACCTCCGTCATGAATATCATGTGATCTCATATCTTTAGCCATCTCATTCTTAACTTAAATAAATAAACCCTATTTGAAATTTTTCTAAATGTAATAATGAGTCCCCAACCAGCCAAATGGTTATGCATGGGAAGAGTATGCAATCCAATGGTGGGCTTGGACAACTATGATTTTAAACGGCATTGTTTTACACGAGGTGTAATTTAATCCTACTTCAACAATTTATGTTTCATCCTTCAGTCTAGATTTTTATGGATCAACCAACAGTATTTGAGTAAAATATATTCATCACCAACTGGATTATTATTAATTTTCTTTTGTCTAAATATATAATTTTAATTAAATATGTTTTGATGATTAAAGCCACTTAAAATTCCAACTCATTAAACAGTGTTTGCTTCTTGCCTTCTTTCTTTCTTTTTTTTTGATAAGTAAACAGTGTTTGCTTCTTACCTCATCAAAGTTCTTTCCTAAAGCCTTTGCCCTCTCTTCTCTGTCTTGCTTGAGACGCCTAAAGAGCCTTTGCTCAATGTGATCACTAAGCCTAGTCTTTCGCAGATTTTTTGCTCCAAATGCTGTAGTCTTTGATAAAGGCATCTGCTCTCCAATTTCTGTTTCTTCTAAATGGCATTTTGGACAAAGGTACTCTGCTTTTCCTTCCAAATCTTGTTTCTTATTGTAGAGACCACATATCTGGTGTTGCCATTGTTCACATTTATTACATTGAACCCACTGCAATAGCACAAGAGTCAGAAAACTGAAATTTTGACAATTTATAGAATGGATTTATCTGAGGACAAAATGACAGAGCTTACCGATTCTTCATTTTCCTCATTATTACAAGACTTGTACAGATTTGCTTTGGAAATGGAAACCCCTTGGAATGAGATGCTACCACCACGAGACTCCCTAAAGCATGAGGGACAAAAGCAATGTTGTGTACCCTTTTCATCCAGCCCGTGATAATAAAACAAATTGGGTTTTATACGAGCACTGCAAGTTGAGCAATACTTTGGTGCCGGAGCGAACACAAGCTTTCCCATGGCACACAACTGGCACGAGCCTTCACCAACAGAATGTGCGATTGTATTTTCTGATGCTTCCTTCATGATACTCGGTTTCAAATGGAATGCATCGCAATACTAGTCATTTACATCAGATCATGTTTAGGCAAGTCAATATTACATGCATCGTTAGAACCAAAGATATCTCTGTCTCTCTCTATATATATAGGGGGAGAGAGAGAGAGAGAGAGAGAGAGAGAGAGAGAGAGAACATTAATGCCACAAAATAGTTGGTAATATAAAAAATCCCTACAGTATATACTCCAATCCGCGAGCCTATTTTGCAAGAAATCGATCAAATAAGTCGAAGTTTTAAGAAAATTTCACTTCAGTTAACAGGAGCAATTTAAATAAGTTTTCTATTCAAATATCCACACACTTTCTAATTTAATTTGCATGATGGAAAAAGAAAAAACCAGATATGGGAACTTCTGTTGAAGAACAGCAAGTCCCCCAATAACAGTAAGATGGCTGATGAACCAAAATAATCTATTCTGTTTCCAATGCAGAATGAAGCAAACTTATGAAAGTGCTATAACTTCATCTCAAGCTAAATAAATTTCAAAGTATACATATACTTAAGTAACACCCTCTCTAACAATTTAAGCTTTTAAGGTATATAATCAAAAGTAATAAAGTGAAAGTAAATCACCCAATAACAGCAATTCAAAATTGATCTACAAACCTGATTATTCCATTGCCTAAGACTGGAGATATGCTCCTTTATTTGCTCTGCCGTCAAAAAATCAGCAAAAGACACGACTGGTATATTTGGTTCCTCTGACTTCTTTGCAGACTCATTATCAGCTGCAGGGGCAATTAAATCACCTTTTGTTTCTGGGCTGGCCTGGTCGGACATGGTCCTCACTTGGATCTCCTCCTCCTCATGACTATCAAGGGGCTTTTCCAAGTGACAACTTTCTGCGACGGCATTTCTTTTCTCACTTATGCATGTACGCTCTATCTCCCCGTGTCTACAACCCCCAATAAACTCTTCAGCTGGAATAGGTGTACTCTTGAAGTCCAAGCTCTGAGCAGTATCTGAGGCATCATTCCAAGTTACACTAGTTCTTGTGGGGCCTTGTATGGGAGTTAGAAGTTCTGTGTCCACCTCCATTACAACTGAACTATCAGCTACCGGGCCGGCCTGGTTGGACATGGTCCTCACTTGTATCTCCTCCTCTTTATGACTATCAAGGGGCTCTTTTGAGTGACAAATTTCTCCGACAGCATTTCTTTTCTCACTTATGCACGTACACTCTATCTCCCCGTGTCTACAACCCCCAATAAACACTTCAGCAGGAATAGGTGTACTCTTGAAGTCCAAGCTCTGAGGAGTATCTGAGGCATCATTCCAAGTTACACTAGTTCTTGTGGGGCCTTGTATGGGAATTAGAAGTTCTGTGTCCACCTTCATTACAACTGAACTATGAGCTACCGGAGTTTCATGCCGTTGCATCAAGCGTGAAAGTTGTTCAGATGCATAAGGTTGATTAATTGCTGGATCAACTTCATGACAAACTGCGCTTTCAAAGGAATCAAAATTTTCCGTCTTCAGACATTTTGAAGGAGGCAAAACATCTTCTTTAATGCCAGATTTGGTGTCACTAAGATCTCTACCAGAGAAAGCCCTTTTAAGACCATTATTTGGTTTTCTAGATCCCTGGTAAAGTTCACTAGTAATACCAAGAGATTGTTCTGAATGGAGCTCAGGAAGCTTAGATGCCTCTTGCCCTGCTGTTTCATTACAACATTTTTTGTCTTCAACCAGGCAACTCTGGGCCTCAGACGGCTTATCAAGTTGCACATAAGGCTGGTGGTGCCACTGACGGAACTCTTGAGACCTTGGCATCAACAGCTGAGATTGCAATAAATCCTCAATCTTTGATCTGGGAGGATTGTCGATCAGATTATTCAAAGCATCAGAGGCTTGAGGAATCCACCGTGTACCCTGTTGTGAGTTTTGCAAATTTGAATAAGGAAACTCCAATTTTTGCTCCCACGGTGATGGAAACCCCACATCACAAACATTATGAGCATTCTCCATGAAACCTCTATAGTGTGAATAGTTCAATTCACCTGGCCAAGAAGAAAAAGTAAAGAGAGCAGATAATATAATTTAAAATTATTGGGCACGTGGAGAATGGATGATACAATCTCAACCAGAAACTCCATAAAATATTGATGCCACATCTGCAAGGGAAAGGTGACATCAATCCAAATTTTAACCTAGTACAGGTAGTCAAATAGATCACCTGAGTTAAGTCAACAAAATTTTGAAGGAATTACTTTCGCCAGATTCTGAGTTGGTAAAATGAGCCATAATGTCCACTTTGTCCAGATAGACAATTTTAGGACATGATTCAGGTTTTAGGTGACTTTATGGTGTAAGGAGTTATTTGGTAACTTTGGAAATTTAAAATGCTAAATTGCATGGGATCGGCAAGGTAATGTATGAATAAATATTCAGGAAAAAAGAAAATGTCAAAAATTAATGTCAGTGGGAGCAAATGTAGATAAAGAAGAAGAATATTTTGTCAATTGTTTAGTAATATTTGACAATGTTTGTGATGTTCATATAATCTTGCAAGTTGGGGAATTATAGAGAATCAAATTAGGTTTTCGTTCAACTAAAATGTGCAAAAATATATCTAATACATCCTATAAAATTTTACCTGCATAATTGGAAAGCATATCCTGACCATGGCATCGCTGTTGAATATAGTTTTCTGATGATTTCTCTGGGATATACTGTAAATTACTGCCAGGAAGAGTAGGTCCACCATTAAAAGGTCCATTATCATAATTCCAGTACTGCCTAGGAAGTGCTTTGTTGGACGAAATACGTTCATGAGAAGGAACCATCTTGCTAGCAATCTGAATTACGCCCTCTGGTGGAGAAAGCTTGTTTTTTCCTTCACAATCAACAACAGTAGTGCCCAATAACAGGTTATAACCATTACGCAAGGACCCTGCATAGTATTGAAGAATGAGATACTACTGTACAACAATCCATTACAAGAATTTTCAGCCATTAGTCACAAAGAATGACTCACCTTCAAAGAAGTCACGTTCACAAGCATTGATGGTCCTCAACGTATTAGGTCCGATTCTCGGAGTCACAAAGCAATCAAATGTAGGGAATTGTGAACTTGAGTCTTGAAAGCCAGGGGACATCCCCAGAGCTGGATTTGTCATACATATGGGTGAATATGAGGAAGCTGGAAAGCAGGGTACTTGTTGTCTGGCATTAGCATCACATATTTCCCGCTGAACTAACTGACCATTAAAGAACTCCCGATCACAAGCATTGCCAATCCTTAATTTATTACATCCAATTCTAGCGGTCATGCAGTAGTCAAACGTAGGGCATTGTGAACTTGAGTCTTGAAATCCAGGGGACGTACCCAGAGCTGGATTCGTCATGCAAATGGGTGAAAATGAGGAAGCCGGAAAGAAGGGTTCTTGTCGATTGGCATTAGCATCGCATATTTCACGCTGAACTACGTTTTCCTTGATAGATCTGTTTGGTATTTGACTGCTGAACTTCCGCAAAAGGTATGCTTTTATGTCCATCTTGTTGTTTATAAGAGTTTATTCATTCTGCAAACCAAGAACAAAGGCTGAATAATTACATAACAGGTGAAGCAATAGCATCATATGACATATCTAGAAGAAGAGCTCATATTATGCCCAAATTCCAAAGTTACAGTGACTGCTAAACATGTCAATTTTTGCAGTGACAAATGCAGATACAACACCACAATATGGTTGTTGAATAGAAGATAACCATGAAATTTTGTGCACAGTGTGTAGTGTATTGAGATTAGAGCCATGTTACATTACTCAAATGTCACTTTAAAAAACAATCATGTGCACTTTTAGAATTCTATACAAGGACACAGAATTTTAAGGATACATGGTCATTCACAAGAAAATTATGGTAGTCAGAACACTTTTATATGACCAACAATTGCACCAATAAAGAAGAGTAACAAATCCGTATTGAGAGTAAAGGAAAGACATTATAGCATGTGGTTGATGAAGTTATTGGCCTTAGAGCGGAATAGCAAGACAAGATTCACGACCCTGATAACTCGAAAAAGGCTGTATTAAGTTAATCTCTTGACCCTTGTTCTTCATTACATTCCCATTTGTTTTTTTACTTTTTCCTAGAATATGTCCCATATAATAAGTTTGAATCCTATTGATTTGAGAACCCCTACCCAAAAGTCTCTAAATTCACACTTGCCCCTATTTTATTTTCTTCATTCAAAACATATACACCATGGACCTAATGCTGATCAATCATGTAGACTTACATGAATCGTTTCTCTCCTGAAGTGATTTTAGTAAGTTACAACTCCATCATTATGCCCTTAATTATGTCAATGTTGTTTTTTCCTGTGATTCATTTCTTTTCAAAAACAACCCACCGCACTATATCTTTAGGTATACATCCTCTCATAAACTTTCTCCAATTTATAACAATACAATATGTTAAGTATGTAAACAATTTCATTTTCCAACATTATAAAATATAGTTCTAGTCTTAGCAACCTCCATACTTTCTCCCGAAATTTCATAGCACGAAACACATTAATTTACTAACGCAATAATTTGTAAATTTTGAACATATCCCTAATTTATATATATAGATGACAAGGAAATACAAATTCTAAAAAAAGTATCACACGAAGATGACAAGGATATAATACTAAAATATACCTATTTTTGTCCATAAAAGTTATATTCTACATGATAAAAAAAATACTTCTACAAACAACCTGCTATCTTAAGTTTGATTCTCTTGTTCGATCGATCGATCACTAGTAGGAAATTTTCAGCTCAACTTCCTTTTTGAACTATTATCACAGTACCAACTGACTATTGTTGCGTGTACATATACATTTTCTTGTAAGTCCAAGTATATAATTTTATACGCATTCCTAAGTAATCAACACAGTGCAATTTAACACCATATGTTCAGCAAATTGAACTCCACCCTTAATGTAAAATTGAATTTTGACCGCGTCATATAATTACTTAATTAGCCTCGATCCCAATTCCCAAACAGTAGAACCAAAGATTTGATAAATTTTAGCATGAAAACTAAAATTAAATTAAATTGTAACAAAAGGCACACCCAATTTCGGAGCATGATTTTGGATTTTAGGTTTCAAATTTCAATATTGCTCTAAATTTAAAAACCTTAACAAAAAAGTTTGAAACCCTAGCAAGAAAGAAAATTTCCGCTTGCAAAGATTCGATTAAACTATTTGGAGCATCACATCAAGAAGAACCCTAAAAATATGACATAGGGCGCAGACAAAAGAAGAAAAAAAAGTACTAGTAAAATTTTTCTAGAGAGAGAAAGTATTAATTAATTCCTTACTTGGTGCTTTTCTCTGTGTCTGCGTCAACTTCAACAATTTTGTCGTATGTAGGACCACAACACGCGATATTGAAGAAATCTCTACCTTTAGCATTATTTCGTAGGCATCTCATATTCCAAACCAAACAAGCACGATCACTCTTTCCTGTTTTATCGGTGCAAGACAAGATTCATGGGATCGAGCCGAGAATGGATAGGTGGGAGGTGTATGGGATGGCGTGAAACCACCCCAACTTTGACCAACTCCGAAACCTGTTCCGATAAACAACCCCAACCAACAGGAAGGAGTAGGTCGTGTGGCGGCGATGGAATATTTTGTGGCGGCGTAGTAGGTCGTGTGGCGGCTTTAGGTTTAGGAGGTTTAGGGTTTATTTGTTTATGGGCGTGGGTTGATTAAGAGTTAAGTTAAAATTTAATTCTAATTAAAATGACCTTCTAATAAACATTAAACTTTAGGTCAAAAAAAAAAATAATAATAATAATAATAATAATAATAATTTAGAAGGACAAACTAAAAACATAAGCCTAATCCAAATTCCAATTGGGATAACTAGGGCTCTAGTTCTATATATATATATATATATGTTATGGGACTTAAATTACACCACGAATTTGCCTACGACACTTGGGCCACCGTCAAGGGGCTAACAATATATATATACACACACAAATTCAATAGATCATCACACACAAAAAAGACGCACACAAATTCAATTGATCACACACAAAAAGACCGGACATCAGTTAGAATACCAGAGACGCCGGCGTTCTTCGCGCCCTCTGCCCTCACCATTAACTCTCTACCAACGTCAAGCACCGGAGACGCCGGCGTTGGGAGTGCGTCTGGTTACCGGTGGTCGTCTCTGCACCGTCGAAGCATCATCTTGATTCTCGCCTTTCTTGCTCGCCGTCGCCGGTTGGTTCTTCAGTGTTCTCTCTGCTAACATGCCATCACCCTTTCCTCACTCGATGATTGGCTTGGTAGTGAAAACTTTCATTCTCTTTGTAGAATTAAAGAGAGATAAGGGGTTTTTATCATTTGGTGAGTTTCTATTTGATGAATTAATGCCAAATCTGTGTTGATTTTTATTTTTCCTCCATCGGTAAATTGAAGAGTCAGAGCAATGAGGGACGTTGAATTGGGCTGGGTTGGGCCACAATTTGAGATTTGGGTTGGAGAGATTATTGATGAATTGAACGGAAGTTCTGGGTTTGGCAGATTTTGGTGCTCACCGGATTTAATGGAGGACTTAACCATGGCTAATTCTGTAATGTTGAGGGGTAATTTGATCTAAAAAATTGTTTTAAAAAATTGCTAAACAGACATCAGTTAGAATACCCCTTTCAAGATAACTGAGGTGTTTTTTTGCCAAAAAAAATTCTTAAGGGGTTTTTTTGCAAGGACTAATAGTCAAGGGGGTTTTTTGTAATTCACCCTAAAATTTAACAAAAATAATTTATCCATCAATTTTGAACAAGTTATTTTACATGCCTTGTCCGATGGAGTCAAGACTCAATCTTTACGTAAACCTTTGTCAAACACCAACAAAAAATATATATATTTTTTTAAAAGAATATTTTACCTTGAAACAAAAGGAGTTCTAGATATTTTGTAAAATTTCAATTTAAATAAGGTGTTGAATTATGAATTTAACTCTCCCTAATGCTAGATGTAGTATACAAATAATATTATTGTTGGTCGAAATAGATTTGAAGTTATAGTTTCAATTAAGACCCGTTACAAATATTTTATTATTTAAAATATATTGTTCAGTTAATATCACTGACGACTTAATTTGGAGTGTTAGGCTTCGACTAGCATCTACTAATCTAATTTCTTACCTTAATATATATATATATATATGGGGGCGAACATATTGTTAAAAAAAAAAAAAAAAAAAAAATGAGTTAAGTTAAGATTTATATATAGTTAATGTGACTTTCTAATTTAAATATTTAATATTAGGCAAATAAATTAAATAAATAATTTACAAAGATATACCAAAAAAACTATAAGCATAATGGTAATTTATTTTGCTTACTAATAACAAATTGTTGATTATACTTTTTAATATTTATGTTTCCATATAAAATTGCTATTTCTATATGGTAGATGATGATGACTTGTAAAATCTCAATTTAGATAACGAGGGTTAGAAATTAGATTAGTAGATGCAAAGGGTCTAAACTTGGCACTCCCAAAATTCACCGGAGGAACTAACTACTAAGCTATCGAAACATCTAGTTGAATTATAATTTTAAGTCTCCCTAATGTTAGATAACTTTGATGTGGCATATAAATAATAGGGTGAATTACATTAAACTCCCCATTTTCTATTTTTTTGTCAATAAACCCCCCTCAACTATTCGAGGGGGTGATATAACTAATGGAAGTTAGCTGAAAGTGAGTTGTTTGGAAATTTAATTTCTATATATTTTTTGACAAAAATATCCTTGTACCTATTTTAATATTCTATATATTTTTTGACAAAAATATCCTTGTACCTATTTTAATATTACCCTCACATATATATTTATTCTATTATCACTCTTAGCCGCATATCTTCCACCATTGCAAACAACACGTATTCTTCCATCATTATTATATTATATATAATTTGCATTATAATATAATGGTATATATAATATGTACCATTAAATATTATTTATACTATATTTTCATTAGCCTTCAAACCAATATAAATCTAGGTTTTTTTCTTGAAATTTATCTGATAGGTTTTTTTCTTGAAATTTATCTGATATATATATATATATATATATATATATATATATATTTGAGAATTATATTGTGCATTCATTTATTTAGTTTTTATTGATTTTCATTTTATATAGTTTTATTAAAGGGACACTAGGAGAAATAATGTCTATTTTTTTCCTTTTTTATATTAATATTTATGCCTACATGTTTTCTTCTTCTTCTTTTTTTATTTTTTTATTTTATATAAATTTCAATATCATTTTTTTCTATAAAAAAATAAAAAATTCCTTCCATGACGAATGTGAACTTGTCACTTTAGTAAAATGTTAAAACGAAAAAAAACAATAAAAGTGTTAATTTATGTGAATGATGTCGTTTAGGTTATTTAAAAAATAAAAAAGCAAAGTAGATTTTCAAATAAGCTTTAATGAGTATTTAAGTCAATTTATATTTCAGTTCTCTTTCAACTAACTTCCATAAGTTAAATCACCCCTTAAATAGTTGAGGGGGTTTTTTTGGCAAAAAAATAGAAAAAAGAAGTTTAATGAAAAACACAGATAGAAAAGGAGGGTTTAATGTAATTCACCCTAAATAATATTATTGTTGATCGAATAAAAAATTAAATGCTAGACATAGCACAAATAATATTATTGTTTGATGGAATACAAACTTTAATGCATATTTTCAATTAAACACACAATGATACAAATATTTTATTGTTGAAGGCAGATTGTTCAATTAATATCAATGTCATCTAACAAAAGGAATGAACAATTTAATGGATCCCACAAAATGTTGAACTGACTGAGGTGTGCTATGTATTTTCAAACTTTAAAAACATTGAAGAAAACACAAAAAAAACAAAATATTGTAAAAAAAATTGCAAGTTGAGTTAAGATTCATATATATTTAATATGACTCTCTAATATAAACATTAAACATTAGGAAAATAAAATAAATAAATAATTTACAAAGACATACTAAAAAACATAAGTATAATCCAATTTAGATTTTTTCAATCTATGGTAGCTTATTTTGCTTACTAATAAAAAATTGTTTACTTCAGTTTATAATATTTATGTTTTGATATAAAATTGTTATTCCTATATGGTAGATAATGATGACTTGTAAAATTTAAAAATAGATAACGTAATTGAATTATGAATTTAAGTCTCCCTAATGTTAGATGTAGCATACAAATAATATTATTGTTGGACCTGGAATACAAAATTTAATGCATACTTTCAATTAAACACACAATGATACAATTTTTATTGTTGAAGGCAGATTGTTTGGCATCTAATAGTGAATCATTATAATCAAATATGACACTTTAACACAATAAGTGTAATGGTAAAGTGAAAAAAAAAAACGGTTGTTATATACATAATGTGCCCCTTGCTGTTCAAACTCAAAAAAAAAAAAACCTACATTTTTCAAATTGAGTAAATAAGGACATTTTCTCAATACCTAAAATATAAAAATACCTAAAATGCCCTTAAGACAAAATATAAAAATAAAAATCATTGATATCATAAAACACTGTTTATTAAGGGTATTTTGGGATTTTATAAAAAAAAATATTGGTCAAAATTGACAGTTAAGGGGCAATTTGCACATATTTTCAAATGTTAGGGATTTCTATAAGCATTTCTTGGCCAATTGTTGGTCACTCCCTGCCTCATGAATATCATTGTGGGAATTTTGAACTTTTGTGTAATTTGGTGGTGCAGTTGAGAGAATTAGCGGCTGTTCTACCACATGCCATTCAATGCCATGCAACCCAATGTGCCTTAAAATCAAAAGATACTTCATCCATGCACGGCAATGCAGTCTTTTGGGTGCTGGGTATGGTTACACTTCCTACAGTCCAGGAGGTGATCTTCCAAGAAGCCCTAGAAGATCCATGTCTGACAGAGATAGGAGGAGCCCTTTAGTCCATGAAGGTTCTTCATACAATTCATTACCATACTCATCACCAAGTAGACTGCTTTCATCACAAGGATATGGATCAGGCAGTTTTGATTATCGGGGCGATGACAGTCGGCATGAGGTGCACCACCGTCATAGTAGAAGGTGAACGGCATTGATGAGATAAATCACGTAAATTGTAAGTTGCAGATGTTCTATTCATAACCGACTAAATACATTAGATTCCTTCAGCACCAACAATTAGAGTGGTTTATAATCAAATATTAGACGATTGATGACTAGATTAGATGGGTTTGTGAAGTATTTTGTATGTATAATTCGCTGATTATTGCACCTTTTTAAGTCTTCTAACCGAATTTAGTCTCATTGATAAGATTCACATCAATGATTCACAATTTTTGTTTTGTTCAGTGCCAATGATTGATGGACTTATGTCCCCTGGTTTGGTTTAAGCTGTATCCGTTAACATGCATAAATGGGTAAATGCTCCGTGTAGGTTTTTTTTTATTTTTTTTTATTTTTTTTTTAATCAATTGTAGGGATTTTTTTTATCATTGCCATACCACTAGGGCTGCAAACGAATGAACAGCTCATCACCAGCTCCGGATAGTCAAATTTAAAGTTTTGTTCGGCCTTGTTTTTTAAGTAAACGAACAGACTTTGAGTTTGATTTTGATTTTTGAGCTTGTTTAAAAAATGAGCTGAGTCTGAGTGTATGGGCTGATCGCTGATGAATGCTAAGCTTGTTTGTGTTTGTTGATGCGAAAATCTTCACGACTCGGAACGACAGCATTTATCTACAAAACAAAGGGACGTTATCTCGATTGCACCGGTGGGGTGCCGGCCAAGAACCCTCCGACGATCAAGTTAATACTTATAATCGTATCACATAATAATTATGTATATTCTCTTTAGGGGTTTTTTCTTATACCTTCTTTAACGGCTTGATGCCCTATTTATGGCTGTCGATTGTAATCAAATTGGTCCTGCGGGAGATCTGCTTGTGGGAGATCAGAAGAGATGCCAGATTTGTCGGGAATATGATTTATTCCTTTGACTTTCTCAAATTATGCCAAGGTTATCTTCACCCTGTTGAACCACGTCGTCATTCATTATCCTAGATAAGAAATGTTATCATTCTTATTCGATGAAAATCTTTATCTCTGATAATGAAAAGGTCCGGCTCCTGGTCAAGGTAAGTTATTTTTCCGTTGCCCCCCATTCCCAAGCTTGCTCGTTTGGGAATGTAAAATTTTTTTTTTTTTTTTTTTTGCCCTGGAACAATACCCCGCGAGTACTGTTCATGTGAACAGTAGAGATGAAATCATTATACCTTTCACTTTCATATAGTGGTAGCCCAGCATAAATTAATTTTGACATTATTACAAATAATTACTCTTATAAATAAGAAGACGTACATAAAAGCATACATTTTATGATAGTTCAGCGCACAAATACAAAACAGATCTACCAAAGGAAAACATAGTTCACTATGAAATATGCGATGCTAATGGCAGTCGACAAATACAATCCATCCAAATCAATGATTGAGGATTTATTGCAATCTTAGCATTTCATCAGTGGCACCGCAACACACTGTTACTTGGTTGAAGACGAAATATGTTGTAATGGAACAGTAGGGCAAGAGGCATTTATGCTCTGAGCTCTATTCAGAACAATCTCATGGTATTACTAGTGAACTTTACCAAGGATTTAGAAAACCAAATAATGGTCTCAAAAGGGCTTTCTCTAATAAAGATCTTAGTGACACCAACTCTGTCATTACAGAAGATGTTCTGTCTCCTTCAAAATGTCTGAAGACGGAAAATCCTGATTCTTTTGAAAGTGGAGTTTGTCATGCAATTGATCCTGCAATTAATCAACCTTATGCATCTGAACAACTTTCACGATTGATGCAATGGCATGAAACTCCGGTAGGTGATAATTCAGTTGTAATGGAGGTGGACACAGAACTTCTAACTCCCATACAAGACTCCACAAGAACTAGTGTAACTTGGAATAAACTCTCATAAACAACAAGATGGACATAAAAGCATACATTTTGCGGAAGTTCAACACCCAGATACCAAACAGATCTATCAAGAAAACATAATTCCGCGTGAAATTTGTGATGCTAATGGTAGTCGACCAGTACCCTTCTTTCCAACTTCCTCATTTTTACCCATTTGAATGACAAATCCAGCTCTTGGTATGTCCCCTGGATTTCAAGACTCAACTTCACAAAACCCTACATTTGATTAGCATGACCGCTAAAATTGGACGTAATACATTGAGGATTGGCAATGCTTGTGATCGGGACTTCTTTAATAGTCAGTTAGTTCGGCAGGAAATATGTGATGTTAATGCCAGGTAACAAGTACCTTGCTTTTCAGCTTCCCCATATTCACCCATATGTATGACAAATCCAGCTCTTTCAAGACTCAAGTTCACAATCCCATACATTTGATTGCTTTGTGACTCTCAAAATCGGACCTAATATGTTGAGGACCATCAATGCTTGTGAATACGACTTCTTTGAAGGTGAATCATTCTTTATGACTAATGGCTGAAAATTCTTGTAAAGGATTGTTCTACAGAAAAAAAGAAGCAGCAAATCTGGTTATTTACATGTGTAAATTAGAAATTTTAAATAATCCTATCAAAAAATAGAAACTTTAGAAGCTCTTTAATCCAATATATAAACTCTGGATGCTCATACAAGAACTAGAATTGAACAAATAATGACAAAAAAATGTATTTACCAATATTTCATGGTAAACGAAGGTGCGAAGAGCTTCGCCATTAACAGTCTCTATCTCTGGTATGAAGTACTTGACAGAATCAAGATAGCGAACAACATTCTAAACCAAACTCTTTAACATACATTACGAAAAGGCATACATCTACACCTAGAATTTTCTGAAACAAAAGAATCACCTGATTGGGAAAACCACAAAAATAGTTAACAGCGGTGCCAAAACATGGGGAAAGCCACAAAAAAGAATATTTCAGGAAAATAACAGACTTTTCTTAGAGTATTTGAAATAACATGACCTCCCACGTGGCTATATATCAACACACACTCACTTCCATCCTTTTTATTTTCAATTGATGAAAAACTGATTGTATTGGCCCTTACAATAGTAAAGTCCATTGAAAGAGTGAAAAGAACAAGAAAATAATCAACTGAAGATTAATAACAGGGAGAAGTCAGCGGTGAATACAAGAAGTCAATCCAAAACCTCAAAGGAGTTTATTATTATTTCAGGTATTTAAAACAAGATCAATGGTATTAATCAACCCAAAGGGGTCTGCTTGGTACTTTCAGAATCTCAGGTGATTTTCAGTAAGTTGCCCTAATAAAGATTAAGTAAAGCAAAAAAAATTTATGGAACACTTTAATTTGTCTCACCTTAGATCTGTATGGGAATTCTGCAGGATAATTCTCGTCATGGAAGATATCAAAAAATTGTTGTTTCACTTTCAATTGTTTTTTGACAGATAACACCACTCTGACAACGAGATCAGCTGCTTCAGGTACCTAATAACAGGTCAAACATTAGACATGAAATATCAAGCAGCTGAAGTAGATTAAATGACCAAAAAGGAAGGAAAAAAAAATAGAAAAAAAGAAAAAAAAAAAGAAAAAGAGAAGCATAAATGGTATGAGCTACTCATATACAATAAAAGACCAAAAAAGTTCGATACAAAGAACACAATAAAGTGGATAAGTGGCATGCAATCACAGAAAATAAGTACATTTACATATAAGTGTATTGGTTGACATAAAAATGCATATTATATAGTGATTGTCAAATGTGTTGAATCCCATACAATATTAGTTACACAGGGCATGATCAAGTTCCACCTGTAGAAGAATATAACAATTTTTACTCCACTCAACTTTATGCAGGATTTGTAATTTGTCCAGGCCTATCATTAAATTGGGTACCTCCGTGATGAATATCATGTGATCTCATATCTTTAGCCATCTCATTCTTAAATAAATAAACCCTATTTGAAAATTTTCTAAATGTAATAACTCTTGAGTCTCCAACCAGCCAAATGGTTATGCATGGCAAGCATGGCAAGAGTATACAAATGGTGGGCTTGGACAAATATGATGTAAAACGACATTGTTTTACACCAGGTGTAAATTGATCCTACTTCAACAATTTATGTTTTATACTTCAGTCTAGATTTGTATGGATCAATCAACAGTATTTGAGTAATATACATTCATCACTAACTGGATTATTATTAATTTTCTTTTGTCTAAAATTCTAAATATATAGTTTTAATTAAATATGTTTTGATGATTAAAGCCATTTAAAATTCAAACTCATTCAACAGCGTTTCCATCTTACCTCATCAACGTTATTTCCTAAAGCCTTTGCCCTCTCTTCTCTCTCTTGCTTGAGACGCCAAAAGAGCCTTCCCTCAATGTGATCACTAAGCCTAGTCTGTCGCAGATTTTTTGCTCCAAATGCTGCAGTATTTGATAAAGGCATCTGCTGTCCAATTTCTATTTCTTCTAAACGGCATTTTGGACACATGTACTCTGTTTTTCCTTCCAAGTCTTGTTTCTTATTGTAGAGACCACATATCTGGGGTTGCCATTGTTCACATTTGTTACATTGAACCCACTGCAATAGCACAAGAGTCAGAAAACTGAATTTTTGACAATTTAAAGAATAGATTTATCAGAGGACAAATTGACAGAGCATTACAAGCCTTGTACAGATTTGCTTTGGAAATGGAAACCCCTTGGAATGAGATGCTACCACCACGAGACCCCCTAAAGCATGAGGGACAAAAGCAATGTTGTGTACCCATTTCATCCAGCCCATGAAAACAAAACAAACTGGGTTTTGTCGAGCACCGCAAGTTGAACAACACTTAGGTGCCGGAGCAAACAAAAGCTTTCCCATGGCACACAACTGGCACGAGCCTTGACCAACAGAATGTGCGATTGTATTTTCCGATCCCTCCTTCATGATACTCTGTTTCAAATGGAATGCATCGCAATACTAGTCATTTACATCAGATCATGTTTAGGCAAGTCAATATTACATGCATCGTTAGAACCAAAGATATATCTATATATATACATAGGTAGAGAGAGAGAGAGACCGTTAATGGCACAAAATAGTTGGTTGTATAAAAAAATTTCTACAGCATACACTCCAATCCGCAAGCCTATTCTGCAAGTAATCGATCAAATAAGTCGAAGTTTTAAGAAAATTTCACTTCAGTTAATAGGAACAATTTAAATAAGTTTTCTGGTTAAATATCCACACTTTCAAATTTCATTTACGTGATAGGAAATAAAATAAAAAAATAAAAAAAAACCCGATATAAGGACTCCACGTTGAAGAACAGCAAGTTCCCCAGTAATAGTAAGATGGCTGATGAACTAAAATAATCTATTTTATTTCCAATGCAGAATGAAGCAAACTAATGAAAGTGCTATAACATCATCTCAAGCTAAATAAATGTCAAGTATACAAATACTTAAGTTACACCCTCTCTAATAATTTAAGCTTTTTGGGCAGCGATTATATAAAATACTTAAGTTACACTCTTCCCAACAACTGAAAATTTAAGAGTATATAACATCTATAATCTTGTTACGTCAACAAACCATTTTAATGAGTATATAATCAGAAGTAATAAAGTGAAAGTAAATCACCCAATAACAGCAATTCAAAATTGACCTACAAACCTGATTATTCCATTGCCTTAGACTGGAAATATGCTCCTTTATTTGCTCTGCCGTGAAAAAATCAGCAAAAGACACAACTGGTATATTTGGTTCCTCTGACTTCTTTGCAGACTCATTAACAGCTGCAGGGGCAATTAAATCACCTTTTGTTTCTGGGTTGGCCGTGTCGGACATGGTCCTCACTTGTATCTCCTCCTCTTTATGACTATCAAGGGGCTCTTTTGAGTGACAAATTTCTCCGACAGCAGTTCTTTTCTCACTTATGCACGTGTGCTCTATCTCCCCGTGTCTACAACCCCCAATAAACACTTCAGCAGGAATAGGTGTACTCTTGAAGTCCAAGCTCTGAGCAGTATCTGGGGCATCATTCCAAGTTACACTAGTTCTTGTGGAGCCTTGTATGGGAGTTAGAAATTCCGTGTCCACCTCCATTACAACTGAACTATCACCTACTGGAGTTTCTTGCCGTTGCATCAAGCGTGAAAGTTGTTCAGATGCATAAGGTTGATTAATTGCAGGATCAACTGCATGACAAACTCCACTTTCAAAGGAATCAGAATTTTCCGTCTTCAGACATTTTGAAGGAGACAGAACATCTTCTGTGATGACGGAGTTGGTGTCACTAAGATCTCTATCCGAGAAAGCCCTTTTGAGACCATTATTTGGTTTTCTAGATCTTTGGTAAAGTTCACCAGTAATACCATGAGATTGTTCTGACTCAGGCAGAGCTTATATGCTTCTCGCCCTGCTGTTCCATTACAACATTTTTCGTCTTCAACCAGGTAACACTGTGACAGGCCCTCACACGGCTTATCAAGTTACACATAAGACTGATGGTGCCACTGATGAAACCCTTGAGACCTTGGCATCAACAGCTGAGATTGCAATAAATCCTCAATTGTTGATTTGGAAGAATTGTAGATCAGATTATTCAAAATATCAGAGGCTTCAGGAATCCATTGTGTACCCTGTTGTGAGTTATGCAAATTCGAATAAGGAAACTCCAATTTTTGCTACCACGGTGATGGAAAACCTACATCGCAAACATTGTGATCATTCTCCATGAAACCTCTATAGTGTTTGTGATCATTCTCCAGAGCAGCTAAGGAGAAAAGAATTGGGCATGTGGAGAATGGATGACAGAATCTCAGCAATAAACTCCATAAAATATTGATGGTACATCTGCAGGGCAAAGGTGACACCAATCCCAATTTTAACCTAGTACAGGAAGTCAAATAGAACATTTGAGTCAAGTCAACCAAATTTTTGAAGGAATTATTTTTGCCAGATTCTGGGTTGGTAAAATGAGCCATAATTATTTACCAAAAAAAAAAAGATAAAATGAGCCATAATGTCACCACTTTGTCCAGATACACAATTTCAGGACATGCTTCAGCTTTCAGGGGATTTTATGGTGTAAGGAACAATTTGGAAACTTTGGAAATTTAAAGTGTTGAATTGTATGGGATCAGCAAGGTAATGTATGAATAAATATTCAGAATAAAAGAAAATGTCAAAAATTAATGTCATTGGGAGCAAATGTAGATAAAGAAGAAGATTTTGTCAATTGTTTAGGAATGTTTGACAATGTTTGTGATGTTCATATAATCTTGCAAGTTGGGGAATTATAGGGAATCAAATTAGGTTTTCGTTCAATTAATATGTGCACAAATTCAACTAATAAATTCTATAAAATTTTACCTGCATAATTGGAAAGTATATCCTGACCATGATATCGCTGTTGAATATAGTTTTCTAATGATTCCTCCGGGATATACTGTAAATTACTGCCAGGAAGAGTTGGTCCACCATTAAAAGGTCCATTATCAAAATTCCAGTACTGCCCAGGAAGTGCTATTTTGGACGAAATCTGAGAAGGAACCATCTTGCTAGCAATCTGAATTACGCCCTCTGGTGATGAAAGCTTGTTGTTTCCTTCACAAGCAACTACAATAGTGCCCAATAACAGGTTATAACCATTATGCAAGGACCCAGCATAGTACTGAAGAATGAGATATTATCCATTACAAGAATTTTCAGCCATTAGTCATAAAGAATGACTCACCTTCAAAGAAGTCGCATTCACAAGCATTGATGGTCCTCGACATATTAGGTCCGATTCTGGGAGTCACAAAGCAATCAAATGTAGGGGATTATGAACTTGAGTCTTGAGAAAGTAGGGTACTTGTTGCCTGGCATTAGTGTCACATATTTCCCGCCGAACTAACTGACCAATAAAGAGAACTCCCGGTCACAAGCATTGCCAATCCTCAATATATTACGTCCAATTCTAGCGGTCATACCCAGAGCTGGATTTGACATGCAAATGGGTGAAAATGAGGAAGCCGGAAAGAAGGGTACTTGTCGACTGCCATTAGCATCGCATATTTCATGTTGAACTATGTTTTCCTTGATAGATCTGTTTGGTGTCTGGGCGCTGAACTTCCGCAAAAGGTATGCTTTTATGTCCATCTTGTTTATAAGAGTTTATTCATTCTGCAAACCAAGAACAAAGGCTGAATAATTACATAACAGGTGAAGCAATAGCATCATATGACATATCTAGAAGAAGAGCTCATATTATGCCCAAATTCCAAATTTCTAAACATGTCAATTTTTGCAGTGACAAATGCAGGTACAACACCACAATATGGTTGTTCAATAGAAGATAACCATGAAATTTTGTGCATAGTGTGTAGTGTATTGAAATTAAAGCCATGTTACATTACTCGAATGTTACTTTAAAAAACAATCATGAGCACTTTTAGAATTCTATACAAGGACAGAGAATTTGAAGCATACATGGTCATTCACAAGAAAATTGTGATAGCACTAATACTTTTATATGACCAACAATTGCACCAATAAAGAAGAGTAACATATCCATATTGAAAGTAAAGTTGAGAGAATGGAAAGACTAAACTAACATCAGTTTAGATATAAGGAAAGAAATGATAGCATGTGATTTGACGAAGTTAATGGCCTTTAGAGCGGACTAGCAAGAGCAAGACAAGATTCACGACCCTGAGAAGTCGAAAAAGGCCGTATTAAGTTAATCTCTTGACCCTTGTTCTTCATTACATTCCCATTTGTGTTTTTACTTTTTCCTAGAATATGTCCCATATAATAAGTTTGAATCCTATTGATTCGAGAACCCCTCCCCAAAATTCTTTAAATTCGCACTTGCCCCTATTTTATTTTCATCATTCAAAACAATTAATCAAAGCTCAATATCATTGACAACATATACATCATGGGCCTAATGCTGATCAATCATGTAAACTTACATTTTTAAAAAGGTAATTCTGCTTTTGTAATAATGTCAAAATTAATTTATGCTGGGCTACCATTGCATGAAAGTGAAAGGTAAAATGACTTCATCTTTACGTAATTAATTATTTAAAGACATAATAAATATCCAGACCCGATACAAAAAAATAATAATAATAATAATAAAAATAAAAAAACAAAAAATGAAATAATAGTACCACAAATAACTCAAACCAAGAACTAATTTGAAGGAAGTTGATATAGATATAAAGGGAGAATAGATATACAGCAGATAAACACACAAAAATCAACTAAAATCTAGAATTAAAAAAAAAAATACAGAAAAACAACAGTGAAGAAACCACAAACTAAAAACACAAGCAGGATCAAAAACAACTAGAATTTTAGTCAAACAAAACACCTTTATCAAATAAAAACACTAGAAGGAACAAAAATATTGGTCATGTAATTGGCCAAGAAAAGTTACAAAAATAATGAATCTCTAGCAATATTTAGTGCAGACTTCCAACCCAGTCCTGATTTTCTTAAACAGACAATGAGAGAAGAAATTCGAAAAGATCCAAAAACATAGTATCCTCAAAACCAAACCAACAATTAAACCATCCCCAAAACACTGAATACTACCCGATTACAACCCCAAAACATGTAAAACACAACCAACAGTCTCCGAAAAGACATCTGAAATACTAACCGAAGAACATTAACATCCATTAACAAAACCTAAAAATTGAAATAAATCTTACCGAATTTGAAAAAATGATGAATCCGTGGTTGATTACTGAGAAGTCGGTTTGTTGTCTGTTACTCGGTTGTACCCGAGTGAGACAGATCTTCAATTTTGTTGTCAACTGAGAATGTGGGGGTGTAGGCTGTGCAGCTAAGCCAGTGATGGCAAGGAAAGAGAGGAAGAGTAGTGAAGAGGGAATGAGTAGGTCGTGTGGCGGCGCTGAGAGTAGTGAAGAGGGAACTTTAGGTTTAGGGTTGTGTGGGGGCTGGGTTTATCTGTCGAGCAATACTTTCATGGAGGATGAATTTCATTCTCCCTGCTGAAGTGGCCACTTGTTCTTACGCCTAAGTGTCCAATACTAGAATGGGCAGGGGTTAAACTCGCTTCCCCTTGTCAGTCTCTTCTTCTTCTCTCTCTAAATGCAGAAGACCCAATTTTTCATTGCCCCAGCCTCCGCCTTTCCATTATAGTTAAATTAAGTTCAATTTGATACCTTCCTCAGTTCTGGGTTGGCCATTTGATTATCAAGTTCACATCAATTTGATGCCTTCCTCAGTTCCAGAGGCGGCACACACCGGTCCCGCCTTCACTAGGCTCCGGAACCGCCTTCACGGGCTTCACGTCGGCATCGGCAACCATAACCTCTTCACTCTCGGCGCCATCACCAACATTCCAGAACCAAAATATTTCATCGCAACTGTAAGTCCACGCGTCTCATGCGACCTCCGTCATCTTCTTCCTCCAGATCGCCGATGTTCTACTCACCGCCGACCGCCTCAGCAACAACCGCCGTCGACCGAGAAGTCGCCGGTGGTTTCTTCAGAGCTCTATGCCGCCGCCTCCTAACTGCCGCCGTCCTCTTGCGTACTGAACCTCGTGATCGGCACAAATCACAATATTCATCACTTCAAACTCCAAAACCCAGAACAAACATCAACATCAACAATTCGGTGAACGCGACTCACCCCAACTCGTCCGAGTCCCGTCTCTGCTAAACCGAGTCAGGTCATTCGATTTCTCTCTCTACAGATCTGAAAAGCCCGAACCTTCACCGCTCGCAGCGACGGTGCTCTTGAGAGCCATGGTGTGGGCCGAGTGTGCCGCCGCGAAGGGCGTTGAGGATGACGGCAGTGATGTTGTGGGAGAAGTAGTGGAAAGGCAGAGGCTGAGACCGAAGAAAAATTGGGTCTTCTGCATTTCGAGAGACTGACAAGGGGGAAGCGGGTTTACCCTGCAAAAATGGACAATAATATTGGACACATGGCGTATGTGGCCACGTCAAGTATTTTCCTTATTTGTTTATGGGCAGTTAAGTTAAAATTTAATTCTAATCTAAACATTAAACTTTAGGCCAAAAATAAGTAAATAAATAAATAATTTACAAAGACATACTAAAAACATAAGCCTAATCCAAATTTCAATTGGGATAACTTATTTTACTTACTAATAATAGTCAGGGCCCAGAAAATTTTGTGAGGGAGTCAGCTTGTAATTTTGTGAGGGCAAACTTATATAGTGGGTCCATTTTTATAATTTTAATTGGATTTTTTAATAAATTTTTAAAAATATAAAGTATATAATGCCAAAAAAAAAAATTAGTGGGCCGTATTATAATTTTAGTGGGGGAATTTTCATAAATTCTTAAAAATTTAAAGTAAAAAAAAAAAAAAAAAAAAAAAAAAAAAAAGAATTTAGTGGGATCAAATTGTAATTTTAGTGAGGATTTTTTCATAAATTCTAAAAAATTAAGATATAAAATGAAAATATAAAAAATCCAATAGGGGTGCCACCCCCACTGGTCCCACATTGGGTCCGTGCCTATTAATAGCAAACTACTTAATTAAGTTTTTAATGTTTATGTTTTGATACTAAAATGTTATTCTTAGATGAAATGTTTTATAAAATCACAATTTAAATAAGGTAATTAAATTATGAATTTAATTCTTCCTAACGCTAAATGTCACATACAAATACTATTATTGTTAGATGAAATAGAAAGACAACATTCACGACCTAGAGAAGTCGACAATGGTTGTATTAAGTTGTAATACTCCTAATTTTAAAAGGATAATTCTAAAATGATAGTCTCGGCATTTTTATTTTTATTTTTATTGCATTTTTTTATTTATTTGTTTTGTTTTGTGATTATCTGCGTAATTGGTTAATTATTTAATGCTTATTTAATTGGGTTAATTGTTTATTTTCTGTGATTGTTTAATTGGCTTCATTAATTAATTAGTTGGATTTTATTTGCTTTATTATTGCTATTATTTGCTAAATTATTAATAATATTACTTATTTTGATTAATTACTTAAATTGATAACTGTTTATTTACGTTGTGTATCATAACTTAGAGTTTTAGGTTTAAATGTGTAGCCGACTTAGTATTAAATTAATTATGGTATCATTTTTATTCTTGGATTACAATTAGAATTAGGGTTGAGGGTTTATAGGTCTATATATATACATGTATACGTTCTACCTAGGGTTGAAACCTATGAAGCACGGACACGGGACACGGGTACGATACGACACGGATACGGCGATACGGCAAATTAAAAAAAAAAAAACAGGATACGGCAATAAAATAATATATATATTATAATATATATATATATATATATATATATATATTTATTTATTTATTTTTACTTAATTTTTAATTTATATTTAATAAATACAACTTTTAGGCCCATTATTTAATAAACACAACTTTCAGTCCCAAAATAAAGCCCAAGCATCATTGAGCCCAAGCCCAATTAGTAACTACTAACTAGCAACTTAACCCTAGCGCACTAACACACTTTATACGCCACCACAATCTTTTGTATGAGAGAGAGAGCGACAGAGCAGATCGGTAGTCTGGTGTGTGAGAGAGAAAGCCACAGAGCAGATCCGAAGCATCATCCTACCGATCATTTGCTGGAGAGAGATCCAAGAACAAAGTGTTCAAGTCGATTAAACTCTGAGAGTAGAATAGACTCCATCCAAAGTCCGGTGTGTGAGGGGGAACGAAGTAGATCTGATCTAACACCTTCTCGCCAATCAACCAGTCCGGTGGCTCGGGCTGTGTCTGGATAAATTCAAGAAGATCCCTGCACTCTTCTAGCCTGTGTATATCTCTTTTTTTCTTTTTCTTTTTTGACAAAAAAGCTGAATCCGTGTCCTATGCGTGTCGCCAGCGTGTCCTTCACCGTGTCCGTCATGAAAAATAGGACACCTCTACAGAGGTGTCAGACACGTGTCCAAGGCTCGGATACACGTGTTCGTGTTGGACACGTGTCCGACACCGGTACGACTACCCATTCTTACGTGTCCGTGCTTCATAGGTTGAAACAAACCTTATTCCTGGAGTGAGAGGCAGAGAGATACAGAGGAGAAAACACAGAGTGACCTTGGGTGCTTAACAACGCAGTTCAAAGAGGAAGGAACAGGGTTGTTTCGGATAGAACCAAAGCACCGGAGGAGTAAACCTACAGTATAGGACACTAACGTAGCATTCAAAAACTGTGGAATTAGAGTTTCAAATCTGAAACTCAAAGGCAAGTTCTTTTCTTTCTTCTTCCCTTTGCCTGTGTTCTGTGCACCTAGATAGCCTCTAGGATTTAATTAAGCATTAACTGAGTTTCTTATGTATAATAGATGTTATATAGATGTTCTGTATGTGTTAAAATTTATTCAATTACAGTTCGTGCATATCTGTTATCTGTATGTTTCTTAAAGCATGATAAATCTATAGAACTTGTAGCCTCTATATTTGTTTTCAACTGCTATAAACACATCTTGGGGATTATACTGGACATAGTTAGGAATCTTAGGACCAGTTTAAAACCAAATAGACATGTTGAGAATGGCCGAAAACACTGCAGAAAGTCGCAGGAGTAACAAAGGTTGAAGAAGGCTTGAGGAGGAGGAGAGAGACGGCTCTGGAATGCAAAGAGCCGGCTCCCCCATTGTAAAGCCGGCTCTAGGAAAGGTAGAGCCGGCTCTACCCTCCTAAGAGGTGGCTCTAGGATTCCAAAGAGCCTGCTCTTTAAAAATTAGAGCAGGCTCTCTCTCAAACTGCTTCCTGAAGGTGTATTTGATGAACTGTTTGGAGTTGTTTGAGTATCTGAACTGTGTTGACAATTCTGAGACTTTCCAGAGTGATTAAGAAGCTAATTTTCAGTGTTAATAAGATCCTTGATTGATCAAAGCTTGTCTCTGAATTAACGGAACAAACTGTATAAAAGTTATGCATATTGTATACGGTTAATGGATGGAAAGAGACTTAGTTGCTTAGGCTAAATTTTAGGAATCCAGTGGAATATAATGTGTTTATATACTGATTCTAAATGCATATTAGGGTCATCTACTTAATAAATATGTTATATGCATGCTTTGGATATTAATGGTTGAAAGATTTAATCTTTTTTTGAGATTACCTGAATTATTGCTCGGATTTAAATTGCTAGAATATAAACTGTTCTTCTGCAATTACTTGGATGAGGGTTTGGATTGTAAATCACTTAATAATTATTTATGTGTTATAATCTACATGATTATGGAGGATTGTATGCACCGGTATGGGACGGTGGCATACTAGGGATGGTTTAGCTTAAAAACGCTAACCTAACCTACCAGATGAAAAGTATGGATTGTAAAATATTGAATCCATTAATGTGTTTAAGTCGAATCAACTGACTAGGTTGAGTGACTTCCTGGATTAATTGGTTGTAGTTAAGTCACATCAGCTGAATAAGTTGAGTGCTTATCTGGATGGTATTTTGTATGTCTCCTCATTGAATAATTGAATGACATACTATGGTTTCGGACGGACTTTAGATATATGATTATGATACCATGAAATGAGCTTGAGTCTTAGAGTCGTTGGTCAGGGTGCGTATATGCAGTGGATGCGTAGCTGGATATAGTAGGTAGGTGTACTCTGTTAGGTCTAGGTACTCATGCCCACATTTGGGTGCGTTTTTACATGTTGCCTTCTATTCAAGTTGAGACCCCTACTGTAGCCCAATGAATGTCCTTAGTGTGTATATATATGTATAGTTATGGATTATCTAGTTATGTTGAGGGTATCTAGGGTGTATCTGCGTATCGGGCACTGTATGGATTACAGTTAGATTAGGACTTGCATGTGGGCCTGACCCACTCTCTTGTTTTTCAGGTGCTCGTTAGTTCCAGGGTTAGAGCTTGGTCGTGCAGAGCAGATACGGACTTCCATTCCACCTACTACGTAGGACTCTCTCCATAGCTTATTTCTGGATTTTTCTTTCAGTTGTTTTATTTCAATTTGGATTACTATTAGGGGTCCACTAGAGATGGATTCTCGAGTTGTAATCATGGAGGTTTTGACAATTGGGTTTTACTAAGTTTTATCAGTTGAGGATTTTATATTAGTATTCTTTTCAACTTTTAATATTTATTCATATTTTATTTTTGTCATCTGTGTTCGTTATAAAATATTAATTGTTTGATATTCCCTCGGGTTTGGGCCTGGGCCTGATCAACCCGTGTTTCGGATCGGAGGGGTATCACATAAGTTAAGCTCTTAACCCTTGTTCTTCATTACATTCCCGTTTATATTTTTACTTTTTCCTAGAATATGTCCCATATAATTAGTTTGAATCCTATTGATTCGAGAACCTCCCCAAAAGTGTCTAAATTCGCATTTTCACCTATTTTAATTTCATCATTCAAAATAATTAATTAAAGCGACAACAAATACACCGTAGACCTAATGCTGATCAATCATGTAAACTATATTCTGTCCTGAAGTGATTTTAGTAAGTTACAACTCTATCATTATGTCCTTTATTATGTCAATTTTTATTTTATTTATTTATTTATTTTTCTGTGATTCATTTCTTTTATAAAGCCCACCGCACTATTCCTTTAAGTATGTATCCTCTCATAAGCTTTCTCCAATTTATAGCAATACAATATGACATCTTTTGTAATTTATAGGTCTAGTCTTAGCAACCTTCATACTTTCTCCCGAAATTTCATAGCATGAACCATTAATTTACTAGGTGCGTTTCTCTCAGCTACGGTTTTGTTTGTTTGTTTGTTATTTTTTTGTTTTTTTTTTTTTTATTTTCTTTTTTGGAAGTTAAAGTAAATACGCACACACCCTATCTCTACCAAGGTTCAAACTCCCGACCTTCCCTTTAGAAAGGAAGGGGTGATATTTCATCGTTGCGTAAATTTCAAAGTCTTCTTCAACTCTACTT